CTTACACTCTACTGAAAAATCAGAGAAGACAGTATGTACAATAAATCCACAGCAGCATGAATAAGTTCTGAGCACCATGGCACATGGTGACTATAAATGTTTCACTTTCTCCTTCTGTGGTAAAATGTATGTAGTCATTACAACAAAAACACAAGTAAGAGCTGTCACAAGACTTCAGGCGACCTCCTCCAGCAGCAATTAGCAGCTAACAAAACTTTAGGGGCTTCCCAAGGCAGTCGCACATCCCCCTCGACACCTCAAGAAAAGCGGAGGAGATGGAAGCGCGCTGAAAGATGCACCACACAAGATTTACAGCGCAGCTGCACTGAAGAACTCTACAGCACTGTTAGAAATTAGAGACCTGCTGCAACCGATTCAAAAGCACAAACGCTGCATAGTACAGGTATAAAAACATTAACTGGAAAAATTTGCTGCCTTGCTCTTTTGCGAAGCTGCTACAATGGCACAAAGCAAGCAGATGACTGTCCCACTCTCATCCTGACCTCAGTGAATCAGGTCATGCTGTTTGATTTCTAGATCTCACCAACGGACAAAAGCAGAATTGTCTTCATAGCAGCACATCAGCTGACCACAGCTTTGTGGTGACAGAGAGCTGAGCTGGTTGGCTTTTAAAGGTACAGCTGATAATTTACCGGGGTGGAAAGTTCAGGTTCTGGATAGGAGCGGTTTGACTGATACACAACCAGCAGGAAATGAGTTCTACGTGCCTTCACCAACAAATTACTTCAACTCTGTTGGTAGCCTCCTGACTCCCAGGATTACTCTGCTGATTCTCTAAACGGCCGTGTCTGCTGATGTGTTAAGCCGACCATTGACTGGCTAATGAGCCAGCTACTGTCCTCCTGATGGTAAACTCTTCACCTGCGCTGGCGGACAACGTGCCTTTTCCTCCCCAGGACCCGCTAATGGGTCTTGAAGGAGGGTCTGGCTCCCTGCTCCATCAACAGTTCAGTCCAGAGGTTCAATGTTGCAGCCTTTGCCACTGCTGGGTGTTACCTGCTGCAGCAACAAGCAGCCACAGCAGATTGAAAGTCTGGGTAGACGGTGTAATTATTCTAGCTCCACACCGAAGAAAGGCTGCAGGTGGTTCAGTGGTCTCTAAAGCACTGACAAGAGGCTGCACGAAATCTGACAGTGTTGTTGCACATGCTTCTATCAGTCATTTTCATTAAATGTAGGGGTAAGAAGGATCTTTTAAAAATGATAACGTCCACTGCAACACAATCCTACTGTAAATCAGAATCATCTTACACACTAGGAGCCTGGTGTAACAACACTGGCTGAGATTCGTCCTCCAAACTACTTGTATCAGTCAGTCAGACAAAACAGGAAAGCAGTGTGTGGATTCACACTGACCTTGGCGAGTTCTCATCATTTGAATCCTCCTCATGTGCTCAAAGCAGAGCTATCAGTGCTTATTATTGCATTACATCAAACACCAAAACATTCATTACTACTTCTGTGGGAATTCTCAGAACTGGCACGACTTGGTTTTACTGGATATGACACATAGAACACGGATCTAAATATTCACATTCATTTAAAAAAATAAACCCAAAACCATGGAAGTTTTGACTTTACTGAACAGCTTTGAACTCACCCAACTTGTAAATGAAGCAAATTGCCTTTTTTTGATCACTGTGTGTCTTTTTGATGCCACCAGAGTCAAAACAAAGACTAAAAGGGAGTTTTCATCCAAAGAAGATTTTTCTAGATGGCAAAGCTGACGCAGAGGTTCCTAAAAATATGGAATCAGTTAAGCCAGACACTTGCGACTGTTCTTTCAATAACACTTAAAACTTAAAAAAAAAGAGGTTAACTAAACTGCAGAATATAAAATTATTCTCCTCTGTTGACCAGCTGTTCAGTATTACTACCCCCACACACAACTCTGCAGGTCTCCGCAACAAATGTGAAGAATTTGCAGTGTTCTTCAATAACAAAATAACCACAATTAGAGCCAGTGCTGCTGCTGAGGTCAACACATAACCAGAGTAATCTCTGCTAAACAGATGTTACCATGGGAAAACTCACTTGTATTGCAATAGCTAAAGTTTGAGAGACTAATGCAGCTCCTCCACCACACACGCTGACCTTGTACCAGCGGCATTTTTCGAGGAAGACTTAGACACTGCTTCGGGTAATGTACGTCAGATTACCAAAACATCACTCATGACCTGACATTTTCCCAGATACCTTCACAACAACTGTGCAGCGGTGATATGCGGGAATTGACATTTTGTCAATAAACAGGATGTCTGGGGATTTGAATCCCACTATTACGAAAGGAAACTGAGCCAGCGGTGTGCATGTTGCCTGAGCAGCTGTAGGTCAATATCCAGCCTTCCTTTTATTAGTGAGATACTTGATAAGTAAGTGAATGTTTTGAGTGTCTTGTCTATCCCAGACGTTCATTCCACAAAACTTGCAGCCGTGAGACTTTGCTGGGGGTCAGGACAGTGAACAGCGCTGAAATTGCGGTGATCGGTTGTGATTTAGACATACTACACTAACATGGAGTCCGATCAGAGACTACGCCAGCAGCTACCCAAGAGACGGAAGCGCAAAACAGTACAAAGGAGAAGGAATAGCACCGGGATCCATGCTAGGCTAAGGGTTAACCCCTCCAGACCAGCAGGACCGTTGCTCCGACTCTCCAATGTCCACTCCCTCGACAACAAGCTGGAGGAGCTACGTTTGCTGAGAGAAGCCCACAGAGAGTGGAGGGACTGCTGTGTGTTTGCTTTTACAGAAACATGGCTCCATGTCAACATCCCAGACGGTCATACAGCTGGAGGGGACGACATTATTCCGGGCGGACAGACAGACAGCTAGCTCTGGGCAGCATCTGCGGCTTCACCATCATCACACCATCGTGTGTGTCTTTGTGTCCCTGAAGACCTACCAGGACCTGAAGAGGTTCGCCATGTTCAACAAATGGTTGCACATATGGACGCAGCGACCCCTTCAGGAGGCAGTGACAGTGAACGTTTAGTGTCCTATCCCAGATATGTATTGCGCAAAACTTGCTGGTTGAATAATCCTGAAGAAACGCTCTCTCATCTTGCCTGTACTACTGTGTATGTACAGCAAAATGACAATAAACTTGATTTGATTTGAAAAAATAAGGTTGTTTCTTTTCAAACAAATACATTTCTTAAAAACAATAAACTCGAGGATTTTCAGTCAGGATTTCGATCATAGCACATCAATGGAAGGGCTCCTACTGAAATAATCTGCAGACTAAACAGGAATGAAAATATGTTTTAACCTGTCCTCTTGGATGTAATGATTGATCACTACTTTTTTATCCATCATCTTGAAAAGCTGGTTGGTTTTTCTGACTGTGATAAACTGCTACAAGTCATACATTAAAGAAAGGTTTATGACAATCATGGCATCTGTTTTGGAGTTGCACAAGGAAGCTGCCTGGGTCCTTTACTGTTTTTACAATACATGATGCCTATAAAATATGTTTCCATTCCTATGCAGATAACACCTTAAATTTATATGTAAAGTCCAAAGCCGTTAAAATATAATAAAGGATACTGATTAACCGATTCTTGCCTTTACTTCGAGCCATCTCAATTACTGTAACACACTCTTTAACTTCAGCTAGGCCACAAACCAAAACAAAAAGCAGTTTACTTTTAGCTACTGGCTTCTGGCAACATTTAGAAGTGACTTTGAGTCCTCCACCTTGTACACAAAGCACACAATGGGTTAGCGCCGAGCTACATAACTAATTCCCTTGTTAACTATATACCCTTAAGAACACTGCGATCTTCTGCGGCTGCTTTACTGGAGATTCCCAGCGATAGCCAAAAGAAAATTGCGGCTGCAGGATTTCTCAATTACACGCCTAGGCTGTGGAGCACACAATCAAAGATACAAGGAGAGCTTTCAGGCTCCTCTCCTGTGGAATGAGCTTCCAGTTCTGGTTCAGGACTCAGACACCCTTCTTTACTTTTAAGAGTAGACTTTAAACTTTTCTATTCTTTAATTGCTGCTACAGACCCAGGCTGCTGGGGAGCCCTAACCTCCTTCACTCCATGCATTTACACTATTGTGTGTCTCTTTTTGTTTGTTGCTTTCTGCCGCTATCACCCTAAAAATTAATACTTTTTTCAGTGATTTCACCAGTTGTTATCTGTATTTATTCCAAATGAGGAAAACCTGTAAAATAACAGTAAATTGCTCAAACACACATTATTTTTTTTACAGTGTAGTTTTGGAAAATGGGAACAGCCTTGATTGAATTTAAGCAAAATTATCATTTGAATATTAGAGATTTGGCTTAACTCAAATTCAATTTGCTGGAGTAGAATGGCTTTCAAGGAATGAACATTAGGCAAGAAACACTGGTGTGGACTGTATATATTATTTTTAACCTACTTGGTTGTATAAGTTGTGTTTATATTAACTGCTTCCTGAACATTGTTTTAGTAACTGTGCTTACAGTAGCACAATGAAGGACAAACATATATGACCTGTAAAGTCTATTTTACACCACCCATAGCCAAGGCAGGTTTTCATTTCTAAAAACCCAAGCAGCAAAAAGAAACAATCCAAAATATAGTTTTGACCTGTCTGACTTAGTCGAACACTTTTATCAATATTTAGGCAACATCAAAGCCTGAAACACTTTCACATGAATGCCCTCGCACAGCTAAATGCCTCCTAATGTAAGCTGATGTGGACGAAGGTGTTGACAGCTTGAGAGGACACTACGCACTGTTCAGTCACATCCACCAGCCTGCTTCTGTTGTGAGCTTTATCAGTAACACACAGTGCAGACTGTGAGGTTTTCATATGACTCCAATGAAACTTGAGAAAAGACTTCCAGAGCAGCAGGTATCACCTTCCCACACCTGACTGGAGGCATCTCAGCTTACAAGGCTTTCTGTCAAAACCCACATGCACCAGAATCAGGTGTTCCCTCTCACACACATGAGCAGCATCCATCCACCTCCACTTACTTTTCAAAGCCAGGATCAGCGCCTTCCCATCTTTGATCAGCTCCTTGATGAACTTGTTGGTTTTATCCAGCTCCAGTTCGTGGGACTTGAGTCTCTCCCTGAACTGCGGGCTGTCCAGGTAGCAGTCGCTGAACTCCAGGGCAGGTAATCCCATCTTCTGCTCCACCAGGAGAGAGGAAGAAGATGAAGAAGAAGAAGAAGAGGAAGGAAGGAAGGAGGAAAACCTGTGCTGCTACTATTATCACTACAGCTGGAAATGAAGGAAAATCCAATTACAGCATGTAAACAACAGGGTGGAGATGTATCCAAGAGAAATGCCAAACCTACATAACCTCGCTTCTTCCCCCCTTTTCTTTTCTGTTTTACGCACAACTTGACACCAGCAAGGAGTCTTTCAGATCGGCAGCACAGCAGCAGCAGCAATCCGACACGGCATCCAAATAAATGAAAAATTCAAGAGAGAAAAAAGTCAGAGTCCGGAGGAGGCTTCAGGAGGAAAAACGTGTCCACTTGTTTCAGGTGTGCCGGTTGCTACGTTCCTCCCGACCGAGTCATCGTGCAAAAAGCGGACAGAGTGAAACCGGGCCGAGGAGGTGAGGGAGGCAGCAGATAAAACACAAACACACACACACACACACGCGGGCGCGCAAAAGTCAGCTCGTAAATGCGGTGTCTTCCCTGGGCGGTTTTTTAAATGCGCTGCTTTTCTCCAGCAGCCCCGCTCAGCTCAGCGCCGCAGACCGTCAGCAGCCTACCAAGACGCGGATTATCCCCCTGAATGACGTCTGGTTCGGCCAATCAGAGGGCCGGACCGCAGAGTTTGACCGGTTAGAGGGCGGGGGGAAAGCTTTGAGCCACTCCAGAGCAGAGATGAGAGAAAAGGAAAAGAGGGCACACTCTGATGGGGTTTATGGGAGGGAGGGGAAAATAGGATCAACTGCAGCATTATCCAGTCAATAATGGATCTTAATACTGATACCAGCCAGCCTTGGTACATACATCGTACATGGCTTCTTGTTTTGGAGATTTTTTTTATGTACTGTAAAGCAAAATAGAAAGTAAAACAAGACAGTCTAACACCTCTGCAAGGGTGTGAATTGTGACACAAATTAAACACAGCCAAAAAGCCATCTGCAAGCTCACAGTGACACCAATTTGTTTTGTAAAGCATCATATCTGTACATACCAATATGTATGTCACAAAGTTCTCAGCCTCACCCAGAAACAAGAGGCATAACTCCCATTTTGGGGTACACATGTATACTTTAACGCTTCGTATATGTCCACAAAAATGCTAATGTTTGAAGTGCTCAAAGAAAGAAGCGGAGGAAATCTTAGAGCTGGTGTGCTGTTGCTCCGTGCTAATGTGATAATTGTGCCGTGACCACACAGCACAAGTGGCAGAATCAGCCAAATGTGTCTCGAACTGTTGCCCCGTGAACCGTACTCATCCGACCTGCCACCGTCTGACTTCTGTTTCCCAAAATGATTCCAACTTTCATGGTCACTATTTTCACGGTGATGATGAAGTCATGCATGCTACTGAGGAGTAATTGGAGACTCAAGAAGTGGCCTACTTCCACGAAGGAATTGCAATTGTAAAGCTTGAACATCAAGGGACAAAGTGCATTAAAGTTAAAACAGACTATTGTTGAAAATAATACAAGAACAATGTTTCTCCTGTGACGTTTCCTGGCGAGGCCAAGAGCATTTTAAAGTACTCTCATATATCCATCATGAAAAATCTGTACATGGGAAAGGTATACATAGTCATGATCTTTATTTTTGTCCTCATTGCACTTGTATTTCTTGCCTCATTTCATAATACCCTTCATTTGTACTTAGCTGCTGTAACGTGAATTTCCCCAGTGAGGGATCAATAAAGTTTATATTATCCTGTCTTATCTTATCGGACCAGTACTGAAGAAGTGTCTTGGATGATTTTTGGAAGATTAAAAAGAGGAGTCCAGTTGCGTTTAACTCAAGCTCTTAGGGGGACCATTACCTGGATAACTGAGAATCTACACAGACACATTGGACCAAACCTTGACTTGATGATGCTGTGGTGAAGCCAGAGGACCAACACAGTCACTAATATCATTAGTTGCAAATTCAGAAATCATCCAATATTTGTGAAGATATTTCACTCAAAACCAAAAATGTCAATGCCATTTTGTGGCACATAGGAAAAGTCAGAATCACCAGAACCATGCTGGTCTGAGCAAAATTTTGTCGCAATTCAGTATGTAGTTAAGATATTTGCACCAACACTTTGGACAGACCAACCAACAAAGGAACAGCAAAGATTCCCAGTTGGATAAGAACAAGATTCATAGCTAAAATCTCACTATGTAGTATGCATAATACATCACCAGTGGCCAATTTTGCAAATTTTGGACATATAACAACTTGCAAATTCAGGAAACATGACTTACTTTGAAGCGCCTTTAGGTGTTAATCAGTTAGTCAAGCCTGTAGACTCTTTGTCACGGTGTGGTAAGTCTGTCAACATTTTATCTCGTTATCATGTACTTCACACCAGAACAACTTTGTCCTCTTTGTTTGATTCTCAAATGCAGCTTTCAAGTGACAAACCTAAACATTTTTTGACTTTATGAGTTACTGTGCCTGAATGCACCATTCCCATTAGAACTTGGGATGCGTGTTCTTTTTAGTTCAGCCCTCAGGAGGACAACCTGACAACCATGGGATAAGAATGTAGCCCTCCTAATGACATATAGCAAAAGTGCAGGAAGGTGAAGTTGGGAAAGGGAAACAATAAGCATATGCATTCTCAACCGACCAGCTGCCTATTTCTCCTACTAAATAAATAACCACTTAGGCTATAAATGCCCCAATTTTACACAACAAGAAGGTGACATATTCATTTTGCTTATACTGTCAAACAGTTGAAACCTCAAAGATATTTAGTTTATTCTCATGTGAAACAATAAAAGGTAGCATCTTTATGCTGGAAGCAGCAAATGTTGACTGAATAGTATTTTAGCACTAATAGAGACTGAAAGAACCAACAGATATAGCCCCTAGCTGTTAGCAGAGTGAATAAAAATCTGTCAGCAGACATTGAGCAGCGTCAGACATAAGCATACTACAACTCATACACTTAATGTAATGTTATTGACCTGTGGGTCAACGTTTGAAGACAGTAAATGTGCAGTGAGGACGTAGGGTGCATTCATGTCACTGAGTATAGGGCCAAATATATGAGCTACTCTAAATCATCTTTATGATTAAAAATATTTGGACTACAGGTATTTAAACAACTTACACAAGTGGAAAGCTGCAGCCTGGAGACAAGTCCTGCTGCTTGCAGGTCTGCCGGTGTTAAACCACAGCCTGTAAAATGCAACATCTTTCTGAGTATAGACGATCTGTGCATGTAGCAGGCCTGCAGCCTGGTTGGTGGGAGGAGACGCTGATGTCATTTCTAGCAGAGCGGGGAATTTCTATGAAGCGGTGTCTGCCTTGGATTAAAGGCTTCTGTCCCCACCAGCACATCTGGCGCCCCCTGTCTGCACGATGCTGCACTGCAATGTGTTTCTATATGTTGCTGCAACAGTTTGTGGCTTTTAAGTGTTGTGGTTGATGTTGTGCTTTTTTGGTCAAATTACAAAAATATGTTTAAATGTAATATAATGCAAGCATAAGTTTTTTTTCACAGTAGACACATTGCGATTACATGTACATGTGTAAAGATAAGCAAACATTGGCGAAATCCCAATAAACTGCTTTAGGTTTCACTGTCACAGCCTGCTGGGACGCTTAAATAGTGTGAATGTTATTATTACAACAGTTCCTTTTCTCTCTGCTGTGAAAGAGGTCGACAATGAGCCTTATTTACTCATAGTAACAAATCTTCATTTTAACTTTACACAGGAGTAAAGACCCAAACAACTTATTTTTGCCAAACTGAAACAAAACAAAAAAATTATAATTGTTGGACCAATTGGAAAAAACTGAATTAGTTTGTCCAAGGTATGTTGACAAATAACATTAATGCAACTTGGTTAAGTTAGATGTACTGAGGTCGTTTCTTTCTTCTCAAATTAACAGTTTGCATTCCTGCAACTAACCTAATTTAAAAAGGAATGTTTCCAACGTAGGTATTTGCGTTAACCGAGTGTAAAATGTACAAACATAATTTTGTCATTAAACTTCCTGTTCCTTCCTACAGGAATAATCCTACTGAAAGAAAAGAGTAGGTGAGTTGCAGCAGAAAAATGTGATGAAATGCAGACATTTTGTGATGTGGGGTCTTGTGGTATAATACTAAAGGTGTCGTAAACCTAATTTTTGCACTTTTGCTGTGCCATCATCAAAGCAGGAAGATAAATCGTAATAATCTGAAACAGTACTTTCCTTGAACTACAGCTGAAATACACTTTTTTTTTTTTTTACAGTGCAAGCAGACGATAATATGATTTATCTTAAAGTAATAAGGCCAACCAAAGCCTTACACAACCATATTTGGATTGACCTAACATGACCCTGCCACTAACACTGCTGCCTTAAGACCTCTATATTTTCTTCTAAGCATTGCATGCATGCCATTAACACATGAAATCGTTTGTGTTTGTGGTTCTCACATGAAAACAGCTCCAATTTAGAAGTGCAACTTCCTCTGCCAGAGTAGAGGACAGCGTCTGGTCGCTAGCTCATTTCTCCATCTGCCACATTGTGGTGTACAAACATAGTGAGCCTTTTACAGGAAGTCCCCATGTTGCCATTTATGTATAAGATGCATGCAGGAGGCAAGTATTAAGAACCAGAATTACCCTGGTCATTGTCAAGTACGCAGGACACAGACTTTTCTTTAGTGGAGACAGTTTCTCTTACAAAGTCAGCGACACTAAAATAAAAGAAAATGTAAAAAATGATCATCATGTATCAAAAACAGAACACAGATTGTCCTTAATTGTCCTTGATATATTACAAAAATGAGAAACATGCTGACTGACAACCAAATACTATAATTTACTTCTAAACCTACGGAGAGCACTTAACAAAAAATAAATAAAAAGATTTTTCCACTGGCATTACCTTCACTGAATGTATCTAAAGTTAGGGACCTTAATCAATATCAGCACTTGTATAACATCCTGTAAATGAGTTTGACAGTCAAAGGGAAGCTGATAATTAGATTTTCTTTCCTCTCTGTAATTGTATCTATTGCATCAACATCTCTCGGTTTCCTGTCGAGAAAACAATAATGCAATTATCAGATGGACACCTAAAATAGCTGGATGCACATTTCCCCTTTACATGAAGCAAATGATGGTTGACAACTTGGCAAAGATGTATTGACACCTTCACAGCTCCAAGTTAAGTCACTTTAACGTTACTGTAGGACAAGCTCATAGCCAGCACAGCCATTTACAGCTTTGGAAATAATTATTGAAACAGCTGTTGTTTTGTTTACAAAGTCAACAAAGTTCAACATAATTTTTTTTTTAAATTTTATTATAGTGGTTAATTAATAGCAGCATCTCCTAAAAGACATGAAAGAAATGTGTATATATTTCAATGAATACAATAAATTATGTTGACAATGTATCAATATTTTGTGCATAAGCTGCATATGTAAAGTCAACAGATAATCTTATCCAAACTAAATCATCATTCAGCAATGTCTAAAAGATAATAATTGCAAGATGAGGAGAAAACTATTTTGGTGCTTGATATTGAGGAAAACGCAATATGGATATACCAAGAACTTCGAAAGAAAAGGCAAAATAGTGCTGACAGTGGTTTAGTAAGTATTTTCAAAGCTGTATGTATCCATCATAACACCAAATGGGGGAAAAAAATGCTTGAATATACCATTTATACACATTTTCTGGGAATACTTGTGATTTTGACAACAGTCTTAAGTTTAGATCTGTAGTATTAAAGCAAGTGCTGGTGGTCTGGTGTGGATTCAGAGGTTTCATTTTACTTTGAGGAGATGCCAGTGCTCCTTATAGACAGTCTTACTGTTTCTCAAGTTCTCCATCGCTCAAGTCCAATGTTTCATGTTCTTTTCTTTTCTTCCCACAGACCAGCACTGAAGCCAGAAACCTGCTCCATATTCTGCTGTATCCTCAGCCAGAAGCCTTTTCACCATAGAGAGTCTTGCTGCCCCAAAGCAGCCCGGCTGATATCACATTGCACAAAGATCCAGGCAGTCAGTTGGTGATGATAACACCACAACACTAACACAGTTTGTTTGACACTAATTTCTGAGAGTGATATCTTGCCTGTTCCACTTTGATAACCGCAAAAGAACCGAACAGCAGATGCAAGGGGTTGCAAAGGGACTGCATGGATTCATATGTAATTTTACTTACAAATGTGTGCGGGCCTGCAGCACTGACATGTCCTTGACAGTAAAAGTGAAAGCAGGCCAAAGCTACCTTTCTCAAATATCAGGCTTTGCAGTGGAGACAATTTTGGCGTGTAATTCTTGGCAAAATACTCAATGGAACAGCAGAGTTGGGGGACAAGCACCACAGACTTAGAGCAAACACAGTGTTAGCAATCCACAGCTACCTGTGGTACAACTATTGTATTGACAACAGACCTGGTGCAGATTCATAGTTTATATAGTTTATTTACAATTCCACAGTCTTTAAATACAAAATTATAGAATAAATGTGTATTATCGGGAAATGCAGCATTAATTGAGCGACAGAATAAATCCAAATGAAAATAAAAAAGCTATAAACCGTACCACCCCTCTCCTCACTTCAGCATGGATTAGTCCAATTAAGATGAGTGAATAAGCTGAAGAGGCCTCACCTGAACAGACCCCACATCAAAATCATGTTATTTCACTGAGAGCTATACTACAAATGGAATTTATTCTGAGATTTACCACTTATTAAGGCGTATGCATGTGATGTGAAAGTTTGTCACTACAATCGGGTCAAACTCAGACAGAACTACTACCAGATCTTGCAGTTCTTTTCAGCTCTATAGAGCATATTAACTTTTTTCAGCTCACTGCAGAGTGCAACTTCCTCGATTTCCCTGGAAGTGCAGCAATTAGAAACGTCTCAGTAACGTGAATATTAGACGTACATCCATCAGTTAAACATAAACATTCCTCTCAATTAAATGCTACTGTTTAAATATGCAGTGTTCGGACAATACTTACACATTCTTGTCTTCACAAAGTGATTTTATGTTAGTATATATACGTTAATACAGGCTTAAACACAAACAAATAAAATAAAAATATCCACTTTATGACTGTGTATAGCAGTGTGTACTCAAAATGTGTTTCTTAATGTAATTAGTGAGGAGGTGTCTCACAGCTCTGTAGCAATGCTAAAAGATGAACAGATTTTTTCTACATATCGTGCAAAGTTGAGTTTCACACGTTTCACTTTTTTTTTTTTTTCAAAATTCTTTATCATGCTGGGTAGTGCTATAAAAGTTGACCTATTCTGCCACCTCCTGGTAAAATGAGGGAAAGAAACCTTTAAAAAATACATAAAAAACAGAAGAAGAAGCAGCTCAGTTCTGATAAACAGGTGAGAGAAAAGTAGGTCAGGCTCTGTGCGTTTTTGGCAGTGTAGTCGATCTTTTTTTTTGCCTGCACATTCTATAGTCTTGCGATTGCTTGACCTAGAAAGGCTGAGTGATTTTAAGAGTCCGGTGTGCTGTAGAGGATAAATTATAGAGAGACTTCAAAGTTTTCCATTAGAAGAAGACAGAGATGAGGCCACTGCAGTGAATAATTCACCCCAGTCTGCACTCCACTGCTGTTTATTGTCATGCAAATGCGAGACAGACAGTGAAAGTGTGCAAAAATAGATACTGAGATTGTTGCATTCTTGGAAAACATTTCCACCATTCGGAGAAATGTGGACACCTCACAGTACTTATCCGCTGTATTCACAATGTAGAGAGCACAAAGTAAATGCGCTGTCATCTTGCACTGACACAGCTATCAATCTGGGCTTCTCTTTTATTGTGAGGAAGTGTTTCCATGTCAATCTGAAGTCGATCTGGATTCTCAAACTATCTAGAAAAAGTGTCACCTTTACTAGTTTTTCTTACTGTTCAGAATCTAGCTGCAAATCTGTAATCACAATAATAGTTTTACTGATTATTAGTTATTTAAAAAACTGACTGTCTTCTGAGTATGAAGTTTTACATTTGAAATCAAACACGATCTTTATCTGGCTTTATGCTTAATATGATCAAACCTGCATGTACTGTATGTGAGATTATTCATTGTGTAGTGTATTTTCATTTCTGATGACTAAATATTCTATCTATACAGGCATGTAAAGCAGCTCCTGTAATCCTGTAACATGACCTAGGTATCCTTTGGGAAGTGCATCTAAAAAGAAACCTGGCTAGGACTGCAGAGGTACTGGCATTATGTAAGATTAATTCTGGGAACTGAAGTCATTCTCTTTGTGTCTTTTATGAATGTTTATATTGTGTTGCTCACTAGTGTCTCCAGGAGGACACCACTATGAGAATGTATCAGTGCTCAGTCAGACAGGCAGCCCTGATCGTTTCCAGCGTCTGGCTGGATCCCATGGCCTGGACACTTGCGTCACTCCATCTCCCCCTCTCTCGCTCTCTCTCTCTCCAGTCGAGGGTGGTAATTTTAGTCCTGACGTTGGCCTGTTAAAATGAGTCCTCTGACGTTTTTAGAAGGGTGGTGAGGTGAGGGAGGGGTGGATGGAGTACAAATACACACTAAAGTCCCTAAAGTCCGGACACTTCTGCGGAGGAGGAAGGAAGTTTGGCACAGAAAAAGCTTGTTTCACCTAAACCTCAGTTAAGGAGAGGAAAAGAAGACATGCTGGCTGATCACCAGCACTGTCATAAATTTCTCACAGGTAGGTGACTGACTCATTAGATCAGAGGAGCCTTGTTGTTTGTGTGGGAATCTAGCTGGCTAGAAATCACATTTGCTGATTCACTTCTAACACGTGATCTCAAGCAAGTTGACACTGTTCTTACTTTTTATATTTATTTATTCAGGTGATCTGGCTTGTGTGTGTGTACTTGTAAATCAAACTTTATTTGTGTAGTTTCATTAAGTACAATGCAAATGGCTTTGCAATGACTGACAGGCTTCAGAAGAGCAAGAGTACAAATGTATAACAAATTGACACTAATACAGGAAGAAAATGAAAATGATGACAAATCAGCCCTGTGGTCTTCTCTATCATCTGTTAAACAACAGTCAAAAAAGTCCCAACAAAACTAAGAATAATAATATAAAATGCAGAAAAAATGGACAAGGAGTAAAGCCTTTAGTAACGCATGATTGAGACACTCTGATCAATAGCCAAGGTAAGGAAGGCCTTAGATTTATGTTTAGAGACATCAGTGCTTTCAGTTGATCTCATTTTCTCAGGCTGTTGCCACAGCTTGGAGCATGAAAACTAAACTCCGCCTCACCAAGAGTTTCTGCCTTGCTTTTTAGAATAACTGCAGGGTCAAAGGTAGCTAAACCTTATGTCTGTTTGACCCATATTAACCCCTTTTAAATAAATTTTGTATAGAACTTTACTCTACTTTAGTCCCAACGTCATCCCCTTCAGCTCACCCTCCCATCCAAACAGACACACAGGTTCAGTCTCTCCTCCCACGCATCTGACTCGGTCACCGGTTGGACTTTTGACGTCATTCCCACCTGCCACTCTGTCCGAAGGTCCCTGTATACCAGTCTGGCACCAACTACACTCTCATATCCCGTAATCCTCTTCTCCAGGTCTTGTTCTTAGGAAAAACAGACTGAGTGGGTAGGCCTTACATTCCTCTTGCGGCTTTCTCTTTTCCTTCTCCCTCTTCTCTCTGTTTCTTCCAAGGCATTCCAGATGTGGGTTAGCTTGGCTCCAAAGCAGCTATCCCTCTGGTTTCAAATGATAACAAAGACCAGAGTTGTTACAGTACCACCGCTGGCTGAGCCTGCCACTGCTTTTCCATTTGACAGGACAGACTTCATGACAGCTACTGCTGCTTTGGGGATCTCTGCCCACCAGGATATAGAGATTATACTGACATTGTGGCTTTAAAATGGGCTTGATTGTTTTTTGGATAAGCTTTTGAGGAAGCAGACAGTCAAAGGGGTAAGACAAACAGGGCCGAGTTGGTGTTCGTAACTCAAGAGGATAGATTTCATGTGTATGGCTGCTGGTGATTTGTTTGACATGTTAAAATGTAGTCGGCTAAAGCAGGCTGAATGCAGGGTGTTAATACAGAATGTTGCTTCAGACAGTGTGAGTAGAATGGCTCCAGTGTTTCACAAGTGGATTACAATGCTATTTGTAAAATGGTTGCCTCCTACTTATTAGAGTATTGCCAGCACTTGCAACATTTCCAGCGGGGAGTGAAACCATCCCTGCAAATATCTCTGATGTTTGTTGTGTCCATGTGTTGTTTATTTTGTTGTCTGGTCTCGCACTGATTTCAGGTGCAAAGTTACATCATTCGCCATCTGGAAATTATTTTTCACGAAGAAAGAGTCAAAGTGATGTTCAGTCGGAAAACAAGTCCGGTCATGCTTCTGCTCTGTGCCTGGCATCCGTCCAGATCTGATCCCTGCATGGTTTTATCATTTCATTTAAAAAAAAGTGTGTCTTAAAACTCCGACAGAGAGAAGCAGAAAGTCAGACAGGGGTGAAAAGTGATTGTGGCAGGCTGGAGAGGGGAGTATTTTCCCGGAATCATATAATGTCCTCCCCTTCCTGTTTCTTCTCGTGTCTCGGACACAGTTCAGGTGACATGGACAGTGAACAAGGTGGATCTCCTCTGACTTTGCAGACACAAGGACATTACTCTGCTGAGTCCACACCTCAAACTCTCTTTATGATGTCTGAGGGAGACGTTACAGTGCTGCCATTTGGACCTGCCTCTCTGGACCTGTCCAAGCAGGAGCAACGCACACTAACTAGGCTGTACAGTAAGAATGGAGGATATCATCTGAGGATTTCACCAGATGGAACTGTGAGTGGTGGACGGCAGGAGAATGACCCCTACGGTGAGAAAAAAACCTGAGTTGTTTTCCCTTTTTTGATTTGAGATTAGGGGTTGTATTTCAGAATCAGGAGCACAATAAAGGATGTAGGACACAGAGGAGAGTCTTTTGACTATTAAATTGCTCCAAGGTTAATATAAAGATAATAAACATGAAACTGTTTATTTTGACATTCTAACTATACCAATGATTAAAAGTTTTCGTAGTTATTAAAGTACCGATGAACAAAAGAGAAAAGTTAAATTGATGTTTGGTTAGTCATTATCTCGGTATAATGAAAACAGTTTAATAAGTGTTTAAACTCAGCAGTTCTGGTAAAGTTACTCAGGGAGGGCTTTGGTTTGTAATCATAACTTCTTACACTGAGTATACATGTGGACGGCACGGCCTGTTTTATCTGAAAAATGCTGGGCAAATATTTATTTCAGGAAATGATGGTTACATTGTGTCCAAGGAAGTTTGTCTTCCACTTCAACCTTGTGAAGGCAGCAAAAAATGTTATGCACTGATGTATGTTGTGTAATGTCATGCGTTTGTTGCAGACATCCTGAGGATAAAGGCTGTGAGTGCAGGAGTGGTGGTCATCAAAGGTGAGATGACAGGAAGGTACCTGGCTATGAACAAAAATGGACGCCTCTATGGATCAGTGAGTGTTTACATTTTTGCCACTAGTGTTGCTAGACCCTGTTTCTCTTTCTGTTACCTAATAGCTTAAATAAGCCTTTTTGTCCACAGCTATTTTTGTCAAATCACATAATACTTATTAACCCACCGGCATAAATTTGAACTCACTAATTCCACAGAGTTTTGTAATAGTCTAGGTTATTTTCCACAAAACACTGGAAAATCACAGTGCAACAAAGGAAATTTTGCATAATATAAATCACTGTGACTAATAATTTGTCATTGGCAGTAAAAGTCAACAGATGTGCAACATAAATCATTATGGGATTACAAATTTGTCATGTAGATCAATAATTACGCTCTTCTTTACTCTATATTGTTCTATTGCTGTGTCTGTATGGAGACTCAATCTTTAAAATAAATTTACACAACTAGTAGCCTTACAATAGAAGTGACTTTCTTTTTCTCTTTATTTATTTTTTTTTCATTGTCTTGTCTCAGCAAGCACTGAATGATGAGTGTTACTTCCTGGAGACGTATGAAGAGAACCATTACAACACATATCGCTCTCAGAAGTACAACTGGTATGTTGCCTTGAAGAGGAATGGCCAGCCCAAAGCAGGACCAGACACCCACCAGGGTCAGAAGGCCATCTTTTTTCTGCCACGGTCTGCGGGCAACATGTAAACCAAGACGGCACCAGGAACCGTGGACACGCTCACAGAAGTTTTTAATGCACATTATTAGTGCTATAAAGGTCACTTCAAATCAACACATGCCGGAAAAGCCTACGGCAAATGCATAATGCTGTTTCACAGATATTTCAAGCTCTATTTTTTACAAAAATATTCTAGATGATTCTTGTTTATGCCGGGAATTTGAGCTCAGACTATTTCAGCTCATGTAAATAGCTTGTACATGATCATCATATGGATTTGAGCTGATACCAGATTGCTTTCTCTCTGTAAGGACAGATACTCCCTCTAACTACATGTGAGGCATCGGTGCATGTCAGTCTTGATAAATGGGTCTCACTTTGAACCCTGGTTTGAAATACCACTCCTGGGAGACAACATTGCACAACTTTTACACAAAAATACTTTTACAATTGATCACGTCTGGCACAAAGGAAACCAACAAAGCAATAAAAATTAAAAAGCCGAGCATCTGGCTTTTGATATAAACTCAAGCAGCTTTTCCAGGGCTACAGTACAGAGAGTAATAGCGGTAATATAATAATTCTAGCTAATAAAGTATTTATAGCAGGATTACTTCAGTGCCTTGCTCAACTTTCTTTAGGAGGTGGGTGTTTGCTGACTTTTGAATGACTGACAATGTGCTCAAGCCTGTTTGATGCCCACTTCTGTGACCACTATGCTGACTAAAATTTAAGTTGATGTGACATAAACTAAGTGCTAGAATTCTGGTGTTGAAACCAGCAGCCTTGTTTATGATAACTAGCCACGATAACAGTGAAACATTTGTATTACTGATAATTATATTGTACTATTATGCTGTTTTTTCTTCAAGGCAGATGTGAAAACTTTGTCTCAGTGAAGTTATCGTATGTTTAGGTAAAGAGGAACAAGATGCTTGTGTGGACTGAATAAATGTGTGAATTTTTTGATTCTGCTCATATGGGAGCAGTGAAAGACCTGCAGTGAAAGACCTGCTATTAATGTCCTGGACCACAGTTGTTTTATGTTTTCTTTTTGGCACAGCTTCACAGTTGCACAAGAGTTCTTGCAAATCTTTTTCCTAATTGTTGAAAAACACATTACTGTAACATTATACTAGCTTAAATCGCTATTGTGAATATTTATTTTTAAAGTTTTTTTTTCTAATAGCATTTAATTCCACTCAACCTTGTAACAGATCTTTTTCAAAATAATTTATGCATACACAGTGAAGGAGCAAAAAGGTAACTTGATCACCTTTTTTCACCAAGTAATACATATTGTATTAAGTGTATTTAAATGTATGAAATAAATCATTATCATTCATAAATACGTAAACAGTATGTTTGATTTACTGTGCCGTGATTATCATTCAATCAAAAATGTCTCTCGTAAGTTCACTAGCAAGGACCACACCATCAAATTGAAGCTTGATTGTTTAATGGATGCAAATGAGCGTTATGTTTATGATGACTGAGTTGAGCTGATGTGGTGTGGTGAAAGGCTTAATCAGGAATCAGCAGCAGCTCCTGGGCTGGTAGACCCTGAACAAACCCTCCCATAAGAATGAGTGGGCATGACATAGGTCTTGAGAGTTGGAGCAGATGAAAAGCAGATAACATTGAGGCCCATGGCCTTATTCAGTTGGTCCGGACCCATCTGCTGGAAGCTGCATCAATACAGAAGGAGTGGCCAGAGAACATGCTAGGATTCTAGATGCCATCAGAACTTGCTTGAAGTGGAAGAGGAAAAAGGTTGCGACTTGACCAGTCTCTTTAACAAACTGAGGGTCGGAAGGCAAAGCATCCTGAGATTTTCTGGTTTGTATATAGTGTAATCCAGATTTGCAAGGGTGTGAATATAGTTTGAAGTACATAATGGGCATTGAATTGTCTGCTTGACTGGTTTGGCTTTGTTTGGGTGACTAGACCAGGCAGTCTTTGAAGGTGGAGGAAGGTCAAAAACAGGATGTGCAAGAGGTGCCGTAGGACGGCAATGCGGATCAAACTCGACTCATCTGTCGTTGTTGCAATAAATTATGTGGGTCGCAGGAACAAAGGAAGGCATACAGAATAATTGATTCTAGAGTGCCAGCTAGGGGTTAGGACATAGGACATTGGAACATGTTGATGTGTGTTGTACTGAACCATAGTGATGAGTGATTTACCGGTCAATCTACATAAAACCACAACCTATGGTCATGGACAGTTTTGGTTAGCTGGACATGGCCTTTGAGATAGAGCTTGTCGTCTGGAGGGAGCTTGCTATAGAGTTGTTTCTTCTTTGCTTTAAAAGGAGCCAGCTGAGGTGGTTTGGATGCCTCATTTGGATGCCTCTTGGGTGGCTTGTTTGCGTGACCAATGGAGGTATGAGCAACTTTAAACAGAAGGGGGTATGATGGTGGGAAAAACTGGTGACCCAGTGTCAGAAGTGTAGAAAGTGGACTATTGATGAGGTATAAAGATTTTTGAAACTGGCACTTCGATGCCTGAATGAGAGACAAATTTCTTTAACAGGAGCACAGCGGTGGGTGAAACTGGTATTTCAGTGCCAGAATGAGGGCAGGAGATTGTAGATATCAGGGTCTTCAAACCTCTGTACTTCTTTGAATGGCAGTGGATCCTCTACTGTAGACTGAAAACTACAGCACTTGCTGTGTTAAGTGAGATGACTCGTAGGTGGAAATTGTTTGAAGGCACTTGACGCAGAAATGAACAAGTCTGGGGTTGGATGAGTTTGGGGAAATTGATGGTAGTTGTAGCAGACGTGACAAAGGGTTAGTGACTTGGTCGTGTTTTGTGAGGTTTGTTAGGGCAAGCAGCTCGAGAGTGACCACTGCTGCAACACGCTCAAACCTGCTGGTATCTGCACTGAAACTGAGGGAGAATCTGGCATCCCAGGGCGTAAAAGTGGAGGGTTACTGATGTTGGGGTACAGGTTAGTGACACTGGCATCCCTGTGATAGGAATCAAGGCAGAAAATTGATGACTGATGTGGTTCATGACAGTTATGAGGGCAGGTCAGTCAAGATTGACTGCTGCTGCAGAAGAAGCAAATGTGCAGGTATCTGCACTGAGGCGTGCCGTAGCTGGCTGGCTTAAGATTGTTGTAGATAGTTTGTCCATGCAAGAGCATGGGAATGGGAAGCCTTGTGGCCTTGGGAATAGCAGCTAACAGTGAAGATCATTGTGAAAGTGAAAGCCTGCATCGCCAGGAGCACTGCCGGAATGTGGGGGTGCGATGAGTGTTTCTGGTGAAGAGAATGAGTCTGATTCTCCAGAGGTTTGCCTGCTTCAGACATCAACACAGGATTTTATGGGGGTTTTTTTGTAACTAGGCGGAGCTACAGGTGACATGATGACGACGCAGTCTTGCGCACAATGGCAGGGTCTGCTGGAGGGAGGATTGTTGGAGTTTATCACGTGATCTAAGCTCAAGGGATTTGTCAAAAGTTTGAATAGATTAACTTTGTTGTCAGCAAAGTGGCAGGTGAAGACTTAGTGCTTCCTGAAGACTAACGGTCGGACATTTCGTGTGGAAGGACATCACTAGGAGATCCGTGGGGAGCGTGATACGATTGTTTCAAGATGAGTGCTTCTCAGGAGATTCGCCTGCTTTGGACATCAACGCTGGAGCTTTAGTGAAAGTTGAGGAGGGAGTAAATCTGAGAAGGTTGTAGCTGCTGGGTGAGGATGAGTCATCGGGTGTGGAGAGTCTCATGTGGCTGGAGAGAAGTTCTGATTGGAGTCGTCGACGGGGGACACAGTTTCTGGATCTCCTCGTCTCATTGTAGATTAATTAGGCTGATCGGCGTGAAGGAGATCTTGAGCCAGGTTGGATATTCCCTCATTGGAAGGCTGAACCTAAGCTAAACATTTGATCTCTATTAAATGCAAAACTGCATGTAAAAATCTACAATTGCTCAGCTTGGATGTATCAGTGTCTACATCTGGCATCCAATCTGTGTGTTTTTATCAATAAATCACATTCTTACACTTCGGTACACAAACTTTAGAAAAATGTATGTTCAGCCACAAGATGGCAGCATTGCTTTAGGTTCAGCAGTGTTTCTACTCAGACTGAGGGCATCAAAACCTCCAACATTTTTGTCTGTGGAATATTATCTGTACACATTCACATTCCAGCAAAAATAAATCATGAGTATAATAGCTGAGTTTAAGAAACCATCAAGCTGCATTCATGCGTTTATCCAGCTGTAGATGCTGGATGTGGGTTACGACACAAGATACACACAATCTGCCCCACTAACAGCACATCCATGTAAATGGAAACATCTGATAAAGGAATTACCAAGGTACTGAACAAAATTTTATTAAGTTAATCCTTTAGGTCATACTAATTTGATGACTGCAGATATATATACATTATACAATAAACCTGTTTGCTTTGTTGTAATAGAAATCTAAACATTAAAGCAAAAAAAAAAAACAGCAGTTTTTAATCACTGCCTGAGTAAAATACAGTTTAACATCATTCTCCTAAATTAGGATTTAAATCTTAATGTACCTAAGAATAAATAAATGTCTATACAGATTTAATCAAGAATCCAGTCCTAGTTTCCTAATCTTGACATATTTCGATTCTCAGACACAATTTGAGCACTGTGTAAAAAGTATTACAGTTTGATGCCGCCTTAAGGACTAAAACTTTGCTGCCTTCTAGTTGAAATTGTTATAACGATAAAGTTATGACAAATGATACCAGAGCAACACACAGAAAGACCTCCACTCACCTCCATCAAGTATTTTCATGACATTTTTGGAAGCAATGGCATTCTTCATCTAAGCCACACTTAATGTGTAACGGCTGAAACAGAACATGGCCTGAAATGCTGTTTCAGAGGCTGCTGTGCCAGGAAAAAGATCCGGGAGGAAACACTGGAACGTGGTTTAAAATGTTTGAGAGGACTGGAATTGATTCATGTCTCCAACAAGTTCCATATTATTGTGGATTTAAACAGAGCTGGCAGGAAGCATTACAGTTGGATTATTGCTTATCCAAGTACCAAGAGTGTGACAAATTCTTATTTAAAATTGCGCAATAGTTGTATATTTTCCTGTTTTAAAAATGATTATCTGTAAATGTCAGATCAGAACTTCTTTTATGCACATAATTAGTTGTTGTTGTTGTTTTTTAAACACAATCCATTTATACATTTACACTCCCAAAAGCATATTGATCACTAAACCAGCTACAACAATGCTCACATGTTATGTACAATTATCAGTGATATTAATCAAATAATAGAATACAGCATATGTAAACTTGTTGTATTCTGTAGAATTTGTAATTTTTTTGATTATTTTTGCATATTGTTTGGGGAAATCCTGTAACTTTAGGTTGGTAAACTTTTATATGCAGGACTTAATGGAGTATTATTTCCCTCCCACTTCTGGACTACTGCATAATCAGCTCATTCTGTTACAGAGTGCTGTCAGTTTTTTCTTGTCAGTTGTTAATGACCAAAGTATTTAACCCTATTTAACCACAGAAGGTTTTGGAATGCAATCGGTGAGCAATTACAGTACATTTATTTTCTTAACAGAAACAAAGTAATTTTTCTTCTCTCGCTAAAGACACTCGGCCTTCACTGACCGGACACATGGCTGTTGGTGGACAAACACTGACTATTACGCAACCTGTGACCTCTCATTCACAGGACAGTGTCTCTCCTTCTTTCCACCAGGCCAACTTAGGAAGCAGCACAGTATATGCACACACACACACACACACACACACACACACACACAAACCTGGTTGGCCATTGGCCTGCAGGGCTGTGCAGGGCAGGAAGGGAATCATTCACTGTAAACTGAACAAGGACTGGCTTCCTCTGGGAGTCCCCTCGCCTGACAGCAGCCAAGATCCCTGCAACACAAACCGCTCTAACAGACACACACACACACACACACACACACACACACACACATAGATCAACACATACACACCCTGGAACTGGGACACATTCTCTCATCTGTTACTCGTCTCTCTTTCCTCAATTCCGTCTTTCTTTACTCTCCCTTCCTGCCCGTCTCTCAATTTCCAGCCTCCTTTAAGCCTCCCTCTCTGTCTTATGGCCTTCTCCTCATCACTTCTTTCTGCCTGTTTTCTTTCCCACATTGCTTTAATTTATTTAGTTTTCTATTCCTATCAGCATATATTTTCTTTAACTCCTTACATGCTTATTTCTTTATTGCTGTTTGTTCCTTACGATCGTCTTGTTATGCAGCTTTTTTAATTTGAGTTCTCTGAAGAAGGGCTGTTGTTAGGAAACTCCAACTTCAGAAAGCTTTTGGAACGATTGCACGATTG